GGTCCGAGATTGGGGGCTGTTTTGATCCGGTGTTGTAATGATTCGATCTTGGGACGGCTAATGAAAAAATGGATACACGGGGATGGGTATGGGTATAAATATGGATATGGATATAGAAATAGAAAACAAAGGATGTACAGGATGTACAAGGTGAGGGATAGAACTTACTTGAGGCAACAGGACATCCAGACCTGTCGAGATATACATATACTTGTGGGAAGTGGGATCAGACTTGTAGGCCGGACTTGGTATATGTATATGTATAAGTATATGTGTTTCTACCGAGTACCTCGTACACGGACAAAGTACACAAGTACATAAGAGATTTGTTCAGTTTCGTGTTCTCGTCTTTTTGGCGTTGTCACAAGTGTTCTGTTGAGATGAGAGGTCTTTTGGGTTGATTATTGCATGTACAAGTATATGTATGTACCCATCCCTATCCGTCCCTCCTTGTATATATATACATATATATGTGTGTGTGTGTGTGTATGTCATCAAGGGGATACAGCCTTGTCACGTGCCATATGTCTATCCATCTATCCCACTCTCCTCGATAATCACTATTGTTATCACCTCGGACTTGTGCTCGTACTCATACTCGTACTAGTACTTGTTCCTCCGCGTGGCTTACCGCATACACTTATACGTATAGGTGTAGGAGTATTATGTCCTGTTAATTACTTCGTATACATGTGCATTGAGACACGCGATACTCAAAACAGAGCAAGTGTCGAGGATGTCGTCGCCAGTGTCATCTGTTCCCGCTACAGATTTACAGGGATGGTTTTTCATGCTGCCAATCCAGAGCGAGCTTTGTACCTTCTTCGTGCCAGAGACATTATCGGGAGTATAGTAGTGGCTTTCTCGATGTGGTATGTATAGCAAAAATGATGAATGTCCTTCCCTTCCTCGCTCGCTCCTAACATCTCTGAGACTCACTCAATCACTCACTCACTCGCTCAATCAAAGTTCGCCGAGTCTCTCGGTGCGTGTCCATCCTCACAACACTCTCAGCCATTACCAGATGACGCCTTCAATGTTGACGACTCCACCCACCACAATGTCTTGTGCAGTAACGAAATATGTACCGAGTACATACCGTCAAACATTGGTGTACAGATCGAGTCGAAAATACTCACCGCCGAACATTGATTCGCGTAGTCAGCCGAAGGACGCACGCCTGGGTCCCTGGCCCTGATGATTGATTGTAGCATTGATCGAGAGCGAGTGCACATTTGGAGACGACTTACGGTATAACTGACACTTCTTACCGCAGCTAGCTGATCACGCAATGAACGCTACGAGGATGCAGAGTGATCCTCATCCTGGGATATTTCCTGTTTTACGATTGAGCTGAGAACAAACGAAGCCGCTCCTCTCTGCCCCCGACTGCGCCCAATCGTGATATTCAACGAACAAAAAGATTCTGAGCTTGTCAATAGTCCTCTGTGCAAGCCATCTGACCAGAAAAAGGCTTGGAACGGGAGCTCTGAATACTCTGAGAAGGTAAAGTCCACAAAGCATCGAGATTATTGAGGTCAAAACAAATCCTGACAAGCATGATGAGGCTGGAGCAGAGTGACCGGTAATGCAGACGTGACCAGTTTGCGGAAGGCATATCTAGCTGGGACAGGCCAAACCTAGGCCATGACGATGTAGTGGGCATAGTGCTTGAGATATGATGAGCGTAACGATGACCAACATGCGTTCGTGCCACAACCTACCGTCTGCCAACAAGAGCAAATGTAATGATCTGGAGATAGGTGCATTGGACAAATGAGTCGGGGGCCGGACTGGAGCCTAGCAGCAAATGTGTAGAAACTGGCGTTTATGTAGATGCCGCCTTGGTCGGAGGCTTGGACAATCATGGACCATGCTGATTCGACACTTGAAGATAGCATGAGTATCCAGATGAGGAGATGGTCGAATTTATGTGGATTCCAAATGGTCTGTCTCTTGGTTGAGAATGAATCGGTCGGGGTCAAGAAGTGATAATGATTACTTCTAAATTCAGCGCCCCAAGACTTAGGATCATTTAGGTAGACCGATCACCTAGAGCTGCAGACGTCTTTGAGAATCGGCCGCATCTGGAAAAGTATTCGTGTGGGGGCTATGGCCGGAACCAACAGCACGGACACCGAACAAGTTCGTCAGCACAATATGCAGCTTCGTCAAGACCTGAGTTATGCAAGTCAGATGCCCCGATGGTTCGCTTCGACATGCCTTGGACGCTTTCTGGCCTGCGCGTGTGAAATGGAGAAAATATATTGGGGTCAGACCGCCGAATGAAGTAGTCGGCAGTTTTCCACGAACGGCCCGCATATCCTTTGAGGTGTCTTGACCGATGGACCTACCTAGGCAAAGGGGCCATTGGAGTGAGGCTTGTAGAGGTGTTCTGAAAGGGAATCGCGTAGGGCATCCCGCTAAAGTGGTTGGTTGCTGACTGGCTGACATATCTCTCATCCTTTGAGGGTACCAAGGCCGATATAGAATCTTCTCGTTAAATGCTCAGACGGTGCCGCAAGATTCCCCGTTGCGTGGTGAACTGGGTTGATGGAACCTTCCGCAAGCAGATACTTCCAAAGGGTCTCTGAGCTCATCGAATGCCCAGTTCTCAAACAGAGAAAACAGGGAACCGAGGCCGTCTCTGATTGGTTGGTGAGCTTTGACTTAGCTGCAGAACTGATGCTATACTTATCTCGCAGCCATGTTGGTCGTAAGGCTGGACCACGGAAATGTCTTGTGTACCTGCATTAGGCGTGGCAAAACTCACCGATTGGCTGCCCGTCAGTTGTTGTTATGAGGCTGCTCCAGCAACAGGTGTAATGGGCAAACCACCATGGGCTTTGGTCCAAGCGTTTCCCAGGATGCCATGACGACAGGCCATGCATTTGATGAGAAGATGCACAGATCTTAGTCATTTGGGGGCGAGGGATCCTGCTCTAACCCTCATGGCGAACTGGCAGTTCGGATTGGTTGCAGTACGAGGCCAATATAGATGTGGATGTCGATCGGGCGCGTGGTAAACAAGGCAAAGAGGGGTCTCCCGGGCTTCTAACTGCCGATAGAACCATCGTCTACTCCAGAAAACAGCCTAGAACGTTCGCGCGAGGAGCTGTACTGGTTGTGGTTGTGGTTGTATTGTCGGAACACAAAATATGACGGGTGTGGGACAGATCGACCTGCAGCAGACCGTCGTGCTCTTACGCCTTGTTTCTCGATATGCAAGACTAGCGGGCCACGTTGCACAAGATGGAACGGAGAATTTGTTGCAAACGGGTTTGCTCGTGGAGAAACCTGGTCTATCGATGTGCAACTTTCAGGTTCTGTTGGCCAAGGGCGAGGGGTTGAGGGGTTGGAAGTCGGGTCCGAGACACGGCGAAGATCAATGAAGATGAAAATCATAACTTTGCTCGTTGAAGATCGACAGGATGGGCGTGACGTGCGCGACTTTGCTCCTTTGGTCTCGCACATGGCGAATCAGCAGGGAGATAAACAATTTGCTTAAGGTTGTATCCCCCTTAAAAGAGTGTTTTGGGTATGATGAGCCCCTTTTCTTCCAGGCTTTTTCTCTTTTGCGTTATCGTCCAATCTCTAACAGCGGACCTCGAGCCTATCGGAGGGCGGGGCCACCATGAGGCTTGATTGCAGCCGTAAATTGACGCGTATCGGGAAGCGCGATTTCAGGAAGATGAAGGTGGAGCATGAGCCTCACACCGGCCAGGATGGTGCTATGATTGATTGTCGGACTGGTGTGAGGTGTGGCAATCCGTGTACGAGTCTTTGTAGATAGGGAGGAAACCGGGAGAGCAGGGCGTCATCAGCTCGTAATCCCAGGGTGCCATTTGGTCCCCTCACAAACTAACTGTCCATGCCTAAAGTTGATGGAAAGAAATGATTGACGCGTCGAGACCTGGGGCGCAGTGCTTGCAGGGACGGGGGAGAGCAGAGCTGAATACCGAATAGGTACATAAGGGCAGCTGAAGATCGTTGCTCCACCACTTCATGATACCGATGATAGAGGGACAGTTAGCCAAAGATGTAAACGGCATATGGGTCGTTTGTGGAGGTGATGCGACTCCTGAGTTTATGAGTAGGGTTTTTGTCTGTATTGAAATGATTGTGTGAGACGAATAAAATACCTAAACTGACGGTGAAGAAAGGTGGACAATGAGAACATGGATGAGGCTCCCAAGAATTGACGGGCTTTGGACTGCAGCGAATATCCTAGTGGCCCCCTCCCCTACCCCCCAGCAAGAAGCCAGGGTCGCTCAAAGGTGGTGGCTGTTAGTGGAACTCCCTAGGCTACTTGGCCACCACTAGGCATGTTATTTTTCTTAGGGCACCCTCCTAGGCGCGGGAGTCTAAAATGTCATCTGCAGGTGCATGTGGTGTGCCCGTAACAGGCTTTTAGCGGTGCCCATCTCCCCCAGTTTTCTCCCAAGGTTCAAAGTTGCCTTCAGCTCCCCTTTTGCCAGTCCGGCCCAGTGCCTGCCCTCCCTGTGCCTGCGGACTTTGCAAAATACTCAGCATCCTCGACTCTCGACTTTTGACCCTCAAATCCCTCAATCAACTAATCTTTACACCTCTCGCTGACGATTTGCCTCACTATCTCGCTCTGCACGACCTGCACTGGACTGCACGCTTCGTGTAACAAACCACCTCGATCTCCATTGTTTGGATTTCGCCCAATCCCGTTGTCAACACGGCGAATTCTTCCTTGTTTGCGGCTGGCAACAAACGACCACCACCAGTTCTTCGTTGCCCTTTGTTTTGACCACTCCGACGACCAGATCCAGAAACCTCGCGTTCAAAGTCAACCCTTGTTAATGTCCTAATTCAACTAGAACCACAATTAAACCGTCAAAGTGGCAGCGACTACACTGACTGTTTCGCCAGTCATGGCAAACTCGTGAGTCCTCTTCCTCCCTGATCCTAGTCTGCCTGTTCTGACTTCCTTCAGCAGTTTTGCTACGGCATGGCGCTCCTTTTGGCATACCATGACCTCCAATGACCGTCATGCCTCCCACGACTCTCCTTACCGGACCGGTCAACACGTCCCCGTCGGTCAAAGTCGACACGCCCCCCTGACTTCGGTCGCAACCAGTGCCATTGAGTCGCACCAAGATCTCTCCCAGACATACCACGATGAAGCCAAACGACCCTCAGTCTCCTCTACTCAAGTTGCCCAGTCACCTGCCAGACCGTACTCACCGGGTATGCGCTCTGTGTCGTCTCCTAAGCGCGCTGGACCCGATGAGGTGGTTTCCCCCGGCGAGATCCAGATGCAGAACTTTGCCGACGGCGCACCACCTCCGCCACCGGTGGCTCACTCCTGGAAGAAGATCGACCGCTGGGCAGAAAAGAATTATCCAGAGCTTTGGGATCAGCTAGGCGAAGGGTGTACGCAGAACGACATCAACGAGCTGGAGCACGAACTGAACATGTCATTACCGCAAGACGTCCGCGAGTCCCTTGCCATCCATGACGGCCAAGAACGCGGTGGCAGACCGACCGGCATCATTTTCGGCTGCATGCTCCTCGACTGCGAAGAAATTGTCCAGGAATGGAAAAATTGGCAGATTGTCAACGAGGAGTATCTGAGCGGTGCACGAAAGTCCTCATACAGCTCCAAGGGTCTCACCAACGGCTCTTCCTCGTCAAGCCAGGCCAACGGCAATCGCTACTGGAGACAAGAATTGCTGGAGCGACAGGAATCGCAGCCCCCCAACGCCATTCAGAAGGCTTATGCTCATCCCAGTTGGATTGCACTCGCCAGAGATTGGGGCGGTAACAATATTGCCATCGATCTAGCGCCAGGTCCCATGGGCCGATGGGGTCAAGTCATTCTTTTCGGAAGAGACTACGATTGCAAATATGTTGTTGCGCGATCGTGGGCACACTTTCTGGCCACGGTGGCAGACGACCTGAGCACCGAGAAAGTCTTTGTGGATGAGGACACTGGCGAGCTGAAATTAAAAGAGTTCAAGACAGAGGCAGTCGAACCCCCTTATATGGATATTTTGCGCTGGCGAGCAGACCAAAAATATGGACGGAGAGGACCCAAACGGAGATCCCAGCCAGCAGGACTGAACAACAGCTCGGTGGCGCAGAACGGCCGGCACTCTCCCTATAACAGTCCCGTCGTGGGCGAGGATAGAGGTCGATCGCCTCACCGGTTTTCACGAGGAGCCGCGGGTAGCCCCAGACACACGGTCAGCAGCCCCCTTGCACGAGTTCAAGAAGAGATTGCCCAGCCGCAAGCCGTTCGTCCTGGTGGAGATGTGGTCAGGGACTTTGCCGAAGCCGCCGAAGATTCTGTTAGTGAAGGCAAGAAAAGAGCGGCCCCTGCGCCTATCGATTCACAACTAGCCACTGCCGCCAAGCAAACAGGAGAGAAACTGGTCGATGTCTCGACACCGGCGTCCTTGAAGAGCGCAGATTCCAAGGACTTTCCCACCACTCGACTCACCCGTGTCCTTACAGCTGGCAACAACGAAACACAAGACGACAAACCGAAAGAACCTGAAACCGAACCCGAACCGGAAGTGAAGGGCTTGGGTGTCAACGGGATCGAGGGAGAGATGAAGACGGTGTCGATTTAATCATCCTAGCTTGTATGTTTTTGTTTTCGACAACAGCTTGGCTCGGTATAAATGACGTCCAACATCGCCTGGATACGGCGTTCTGGGACGCATTGAATAGTGTATGCAAGCATCAACAGACTTATTTATCATGGAAGGCGCTCTTTTACTACACAGCCCGGCGTCTCTGGCTTTAATTGTCGAAAGCTATCCCTTTTTGGCAAACTCTGTGGGTGGGACCAGGTGAAGGAAGTTAACTTACTGTGTGGGCACAGTTGGTGTTGAATTGGTGGCAACCGATATTGCGGCGGGCAACGTACCAGAAAGCTCGATGACTCCTTTGGAGAGAACACGGCGCAACGCAGCGATCACAACACATTCCCATGTAAAAAGAGACCGGGTGAATATCTAGCTGTCTGGAAAGGGGGTGGAGAAGAGCACATCTGCAAAGAGAAGCGACCAGCGTGGACAGTGACGGACGACGTTGGAAGGACTGGAAACAGAGAAGACTCGTAGGCAATCCAAACCCACTCTCTTCCATTTCTGCAAGGATTTTCCCGCTTCCTAGACCCCAATGGAATGTATATGAACGTCTACGCCCCTAGCTCGCCATCATTCCAGCACGATACAGAAATTATTCCTGCCCCCTCCGGGGTTGATCTCTCTCTTTTTGAACACGGTGTCGCCGCCGCCATGGATCCACTCGTCTCGGGCCCTGGGCCCGTCGAAGCGCCAGAGGCTGTAGTGCAGCTTGCGCGTCGTCTTGGTGTGCAGGTGTCGGTAGCCCAGCGAGTTGAGGATGGCGGCGAGGTGTGGCGGTGTGAGGTAGCGGCTGTTGTGGAGGCAGGGCGAGGGCAGGACGAGGAAGAGGCATGGGAGGAGTTGTGTTGGCGGTGGTGTGGGAGCTGGAGGCTGTGAGTGGGAGTTGGAATGTGGTTCAGAGTGTGATGATGGTGATGATTGTGATTTGGAGTGTGAATGTGAGTGTGATGGTGATGGTGACGATGACGATGACGATGACGGTGGCGCAAAGAACAACGTCGTGCGCTTCAGCATCGCCCCCCGCTGTCTCGCGTCCGGCACGTAGTTCAACACCAGACTGAGACTGAGCACGTCGTAATATCCCTCTCCTTCTCCCCCTTGTGGTGGCTGCTCGCCGTCCCTCCCTGCGTCTTTGCCACCATTATTGCGTGCGACGCCTTCGCCGGGAAGCGGGAGCTGCATAAAGTCCATCTCCTCGATGCCCTCGGCCGAGCTGCGTAGATCGATCCGCCGAACGCGCGTGACGCCCTTGACGTTGAGGGCGTTTTGCGTGCTCAGCGCCCCGATCTCGAGGATTCTGATCGGGGACACAGTCGCTAAGGGGTCATGGTTTCCTAAAGCATGCCCACCATTCCCGTAGCCATCCGAGTCGTCTGCCTCGCCCTCAGCCTCATCCTCGTCGCCGTCTTCCTTCCCCTCACTCTCATCCTCACCTTCGTCCCCATCTTCGTCGTCGTCGTCGTCGTCATCTTGGTGCTCCCGCCGCCGGGGTTTCTGCGTCCTCGACACCCTCCCCTCCTTCACGCGACTCTCACGCCGCGACCGGCGCAAAGCATCCTTGCGCGAATCAAGTTCCCGCTCCAGCCAACGGACCAACACACGGCTGGAATCACCTCCACGCTCGGCGCTCTGGCCCGTCCGGCTCGCAAGTTGGTACGACCTCAGCCCGCCCTGCGCGGCGATCTGGGCCTCGATCTCGCGGACCTGGTCGACGTCGTCGCGCGCGCGGGCCCGCGCGAGCTGCTTCTGGAGTAGATGGTGCGCGTTGATCAGGGCGCGGGTGTGTTTTGACGAGAGGGACAGAGGTGCTGCCGCTGCCGCTGCCGCTGCCGTGGGTACCGGCGTCTTTGTCGTCTTTGTCGGCTGTGCCCGCGTAGAGCCGAGGAGGAGGGGTGGCCGGGTCGATTTCAGCGATGACGGAGCCCTAGGTTTCGCCTTGCTCTTGCTCTTGCTCTTGGTATTGTTGCGTCGTCGCGGACCCTGGAGAGAGGCCATCCTGGACCACTCATCTCATGATCTGACTTCAATACATACGAGGGATGTACACTCGCGGCAGAAGCCCGCGAATTACTCGTATGTATAGGGCACCTCTTTGCCTTGGGTTGAGCGACCGTGGTCTGTCTTGTGGCGCTGTGCGCTGGGATTCTCGTGCGTGTTCTCTCGTCCTTGTGTGTTGTTAAATACTCTTTTGTGAAAGAAGTTCCCTGGTGTGAAAACCCACCTTTGTAGTGGCCAATCACGGTCTTTGATATGGACCGGGGAGGCGCAAACTGCCACATTGGGGAAGATTTATTTTACTCTATTACAAGATACCTACCCAATGCCATAGAGATAGAGGGCGCCTAAAGTGATCGCGACGCGACGGAATACAACAGTAAGACAGCACTTCATTCTGTGCCAATGTGTGAGCTTTTGTCTTGACTGATTATTAACGCCTGAGTACAGGGTTCCCTTCCCACAGTAAGCAAGCCTGATATCATTGATATCTCCGAGCCTTTTACCAGAGAACAGCCTCTGAACTCCTGTCGTTCTGCTCATATTATACATTCATCCTGGGGTCGTCACTCGTGATTATATGTATGCGGGCCCTTAGAACCATATCCAGTCCACGCTGTATCATAACCGGCGCCGTTTTTGCTCACTTTGCTCTAGCCTCGTCGAATCCGATGTGGTTATCTCTTTTCGCTTGGAACCGTCCTTTATCGAAGCATCCGACTTCTTCCACGGGTTGGGATCCTTGGGGGGCGGATTTGAGGGTTGCTTTTTTGAGCTGTTGAAGGGATTCTCCTTCATAACCTTCTTCTGAGCAATTTTGAACACGTTCCCCTTTGTCGGCGCATTCTCTTTCTCGGACGATGTTTCTTTTTTGAAGGAGAGGAGAGGAGTTGGCGAGTTGGTTGTCTCGGGTGCTTTTGTCTTTACTTTGAAATCAATCACGATTTTCTCTCCCTGCTCTCGCTTGATACCTTCGCCTCCATTCTCCCCATCGTCTTCTCCGTCCTCCTTGTCGTCTGTAGCATCTCCCAACCCTTGACTCTTTGCCTTCCGGATCTGTTGTTCTATCATCCGTTGTTCACGAAGTTCATCACCTCGGTCTTGTCGTTCCTTCTTTCGAATCGCCTCCTGGCGCCGGAGTGCCTCGGGACTATTGTCAATCCAACTGATTGTGAGCCCACTTGCACCGGTCTTGCTTTCGTTTTTCTCATCCTCGTCCACCCGACATATCCCTTCTCTGCCCAGATACTTCGCAAATTCGGTCAGACTACTCCACTTTGTCGCATTCATATGAATGTGTTCCTTGTTTGAAATGTACTCTTGATAGAAGTGGTTCACGTTGACCTTTTTCTCCCCGTGGCCCGTCCGCAGGAGTTGTATGAAGTCACGGAGGAATTGGTTGGAAAAGTCGTTAATGGCTTTCCGAGGATCTTCCCCGATGAGCTGCATTTGGCGGACGTGGGATTCCGAGGCGACATGGCACTTGAACCCATTTTCATCTCGCATTTGCCGCTGACACGCTTGACAGTACCATCGCAACCGCTGAAGACCTTTCGCCTTCATCTGGTTGGCGATGTGCTTCGTTGATCCCACTTCGGCTCGAGGCATGATTGCGGTGGTACAGATTGGCCTAGGGAAAATGGTAGGGATGCGCAGACAACAGAATGAGCAGTATCATCAAAGAGCGACGACGAAGGGAAGTTCTGGATTGCAGGCGATGAGGAGGCGAAGTGAGGCTATTGCCAAGACAGCCTCGTCACATGATTAAGTCACGTGTTGCTGACTAACATGACGAGGCTGATAAGCATCAACTCAACCCAGAAACAATCTTCTACAAGTACACTGACTCCGCGAATACCACCTTCCGAGGAGTCTTCAAACTGCTTTGCAGAATCTAGGGACATTGTACTTCGGAACACACCGATCAAGGACTGAAACACACACGTGAGGTCTGACAAATCCAAGTTCGTCGAGAACCAATCAGGGGTCGATGGCTGCAGTGCATAACAGATTTCTAACGCTCGTATCGTCGACTGTCGAGTCTGATATCTAACAGATATGCAAGAACATGGGCAGATTATACTGTCGTTGTGCATATCGTTGATTTGGAGCGAATAGCATGGATGGAAATCATGATGGCGACATTTGGAGAAACACTGACACAATCAATCCGCTTCACTATGTGACCGTCTTCCAATGCTCCTGATAAAGGACGATTGTTGGTAATGTCCCCCCTTGATGCTATATCGTGCCTCTCAATTGACTACGCCGAGAACTTCACGGTAGATCTTTTCGCCTTGTCCACTGATAAACACTAAACCCTCAGACGTCGTCAATATCAACCATGTCAGCAACTATTACTGATACAAAGGCTTCAACGGCCAGTGGAGTTGCAGACCCTCAGCAGTATGACTACAGCAATCTCAAACCCTACGTGCACCCGCCGGTGACAAAGGCAGACCTGCCCTGGGCAGAACTCGTTACGCTTGATCTTGAGGACTTTGGCCGCCCAGGCGGCAAAGAGCGGCTGGCCAAGCAGCTGGAACACGCCGTCCACCACGTCGGGTTCTTCTACGTCAAGAACTTTGGCCTATCTCAGGAGGAGGTCGACCGGCAATTCACGCTGGCGCAGAACTTCTTCGAGCTGCCCGTGTCGGAGAAGGAAAAGTACGAGGTGCGCTACGCCGAGGCCGACTACAACGGCTGGAGACGGCCGGGACGCTCGCTGCAGTCCAAAGCGCGGGACAACGTCGAGATGCTCAACTTCCCAAAGTTCACAAAGGACTTTGTCGGCAAGTACGACTATCCCGACCTGATCAAGGCCCACCTGGGCGAGATCGAGGCGTTTCAGCGCGCCCTCCACGCCAATGTGGTGCTCCCGCTCCTGCGCCTCTTCGCCATCGTCCTGCAACTCCCCGACGAGGAGTACCTGGCCAAACAGCACACGTACGACAAGAAGAGCGAGGACCATTTTCGATACATGCTCTACTACCCGCGCACCGAGGAGGAGTGGGCCGCGAGCGACTACGGCAGAGGGGGCGGACACACCGACCTGGGCACCGTGACGCTGCTGTTCCGCCAGCCCGTGGCCGGCCTGCAAATCCTCGGCGAAGACGGCAACTGGACGTACGTATCGGCGCAGCCGGGCACCATCACGGTGAACCTCGCCGACACCATCTCGCACCTCACGGGCGGCTGGCTCAAGAGCTCGGTGCACCGCGTCGTCGCGCCCCCCGAGGATCAGCGCCAGTACAAACGCACCGGGCTGCTGTACTTTGCCCGCCCGCACAACGACACGTTGCTGGTCCCCATCACGGACTCGCCTGTGCTGGAAAAGGCTGGCGTCAAACCCAGATTCGACCAGATCGTCACCATGGAGCAGTGGGTCAAGGCGAAGCAGACACTGCAGCTGAATCCGGACATTGCGGCCAAGAGGTGGGCTGAACGGGGAGACGGGACAGTCGAGGTTCTCGCAGGGTTCCGAGACCAGAAGTACAAGTCATAGACCCGGTGATGGCTTGTGTGCCATTGCTGTAAGTATCCTCGTAGACCTTTGTCATAGCACGAAAGCGTATGGACCATGAAGCAGACAAGAGGATGGCTGAGCTCTATTCAATATAATCCATGACTATCACACCCTAACTCAATAAACTATAAGACTTTATACACGACTCTATCCCATCTCTGAGAATGCGTCAACAGATCAACGTACCGATTCCCCTCTTCTGTACTAACATAACTTCTGTCTCTCTAACAATGTGTCTAACCAAAGCCAGACTCGAATCCACCAAAGTGAGCAAGTTTAACGACAAAACACGCATTCAAGGAACATATAGCAGCGCAAGAAGTGTCCCGGGTGCTAGATGGCTCTCAATCGTCTTGCAAGGCACAAGCTCATCACGACAAACACTCCAATCCCTCCAAGGATACCAAAGAACCAGTACAAGCCGTCGGTATTCATGCCGGGGACATTGACGTTCATGCCGAACAGACCCGTGATCAGGTTCAAGGGCACGAGAATGGTGGCCAAGACCGTAATCTTTGCCAGGTTTTTGTTGGTGTGGTTACCCTTCAAGATGTTGTCGACATTGAGCTGGGCCAGGTAGTTTGCATGCGACCGAGAAAGCATCTTCTCCACGTGGCCCAGGTTCGACATCATTGTCACGACGTGATCCTGAATATCGCCTAGGTACAGCCCAATGTCGCCGCGAGGCGTCATCTGGTACTGGTCGTTGCAGCGCTTCGCGAAGCCTTTGATGACGTCCGCTTTGCCGCCCAAAAGCCGCATCATATTAAGAACGCGCTTGCGGCATTCGCCAATCTGCCTCAGCAGAGCCAAGAAGTCGTCCTCGCGCGCAATAAACACCTGGTCCTCAATATTCTCCGATTCTTGCTCTGCGTCACGGATGATAGGCGCAAAAGAATCGACGATATCGTCGATCATGGCGTAGCAGATGTAATCAGGTCCCAGGGAGAGGAAATCACCAAGCTTCGCGATACGCTTGCGCACATTCTTCGGGTGTGGATTAGGGCTGTAGCTGAAGCTCAACACCCCATCAGCACAGACGACAATATAGATGTGGATTGGATCGAGAAAGTCTTCGTGGCCTTTGTCCATGTTGAACGACCTGAAGCAGACAAAGTAATATTGAGAGAACAACTCGACTTTTTCACGAGCCTCTTGTGTCTCAATATCCTCTTGCGTGAGGCGATGGATCTTGAAGGCCCTGCAGAGGACAGCAAGCTCGGCTTTGGTGGGGTTGAGGACGTCAAGCCACCATACACCACCATCAGGTCCAAATTCGAACAGATCACGAAACGTGGTGGTGCCATCGGCGACGAAATCACCCAGCTTCTTAGCACGTTGGCCTTGGGTGAGTTCAGACGTAAATAGGAAGAATCTGTCCACGGGCTGTGGTGCAACATGATTTCGTTGGATTGTGACCTCCTCTTCGGACGAGAAAATCTGATCGTGGTTTGAATCGTGCTGTACTGTGGGCTTCTCATAAAAGCATTCCCCATTGAGAACGACATTGGGGTCTCCAGTATTGGTTTTCCGAAGGTCCACAAAGGCCCGGTGGTCACTTGAGACTTCAGTAATCTGATCATCCGGAATTTTGCCCTGTGCACAGAGGGCGACAAATTCCTCGAGCTCCTCGAAATCGATCTTGTAGGTCTTCCCGGGCTCCTCGTCGGTAGGGAAGGTCACATCCTCGCTGGCGTCCTTGTCTGTGCGTTGGGTAAGAGCAGGAGGAATGCTGATATTACTCAGCGTCGGACGTCGTTGGGCGGTGCCATTCGAATAGGCGCGATTTCGGAAAGTCTCTAGGAGGGAGGACGCATGACTTTCGGCAGTGTTGGCGCGTTGTCGGCGACGGGGCTCGGCGAATGCTTCAATCGAGTTCGCAGGGGAAGTCGATCGGGAGGATGAGCTCTCTCGTGAACGATCATTTCGGGGAACACGGGTACGGCCATCGCGATTATTCGTGAACCTCCTGGCATGAAGTGACGGTCGTCTGACACTGCTTTGGGGTCCGTCAAATTCCGCATCGCTTTTGTCGTCGTCTTCAATGGCATTCTCAAAGTCGCGGGCGATTGGGTGCCTCTCTTGTTCCCGTGTCTTCAGCAACGCGTTGTCCACAGAGATCAAGTCTCGTTCCTCCAGAGGGCTTGGTTTCGGCGTCGGAACTTGTAGCTCGACCGCGGGGACAGTCAGAGTAACATGCGCCGGAGGGACCCCCAGAGTGCTTCGGTGGTCGTCCAGCTCCGGAGCTGGGGTGCTATAGCGGCTGTCCATCTTCTCTTCTGGCGACGATCCAGACGACGACATGTTGAGCACTTCTCTTTTGGTACAGACTCTGACAGCCTCGTTGGCACTGTCCCCAGTGTCGGTAATGCGCTAGTTATGCCACTTTGTAAGATTCGATGGCGACTGAGTTGCCAGCTGTGGTGAGAAGTTTCGCCAGGGTTTCCAAACAACCAGTACCGTCTCTTTTCAATTAATCAATAGCAGTAGTTCCCCAGGCCAGGTATGGCCAGGGACAGGTTCACAGCTCCGAAGGGCCAGTTACGGGGGTCGAGTTGTAGCGCCGGTGAAAACCATGCAGGAGGTTCCTAGCAAAGGGCGAATGAAGGAGGAGAAGACTGTAGAGCCCGCCAACTTGAAGGCCGGAGGTGAATTAAAGTCGCTGTCGAGCGCCAGGGTGGAAGGTCGAAAAACAGAGATAGGAAAGACTGTGAAACAGCCTTCCTATGCCTTTTGAATAATCGAAAGGTGGGATTTCAGGAGGAGCGGATAGATCAAGACTGGGACAGACAAGTCGGCCAGTCCAAAGAGTCAGCGTTGGATAGATGAGAGGATGGAGTAGAGCTGGAGGTGTGAGAGAAGAGCGATATGTCACAGTGCCTCTTCCTGCAATATACAGCCACTGGATGAGATTGCGTCCAGCGGAAGTCAAGAGAGATATAAAGGGCCACGGGAGGGAAAAAAGTGTGCGAAAAGGTGGGGAGAAGTTCAGTTGCTATTATGCAACTTTTCGATGTCACTGGGGAAAATGGGAAAAGATGAGGGAAGAAAATGCGCTGATTATGGGTAACAAGTCCTCAAGAGAAAAAAATGGACGAGGTAGAAGAACCAGACTGCAGGGGGAGGGGTTAGGTGGGTAGACGGAACCAGAATGCTCACCAACCAAAGCGACACGAAACTCAGCGAAGTGTAAGGATTAGTGGGCACTTGGGCATGGCACCCCAGCCGAGAGGCATTTTTTACCCCCCAGGCAGCCGAGAGAGGACCCCGTAGGCTGCTCGGATTCGCCCGTGGCGCCCGGGACAGCCTATCACGCCCCCAATTCCCTCTGCGGTCAATCGCCTAGATCTACATGGGTGTCTAGGTCCCCCCCTGCTGTGTTCCTTTTTCTTAACCAAACTGGTTAAGGTCACGTCTGGTTCAGGTATGGAGGACCTCGTGAGGGGTCACCCAAGCCTGGAGTCTCCGGAGCTTGTTTTGAAGCCAAGTATCATCACAACACAACTGGAGGCCACGTTTGGTCTTTGCTCACACCACATCACATCAATCAAAGTCTCTCCGATCAACCCAAGAACCTTCTCCAACAAGTGAAATCAATTGCCAATCTCACGAGCTGATCAGGGCATTGACTATGGACGCGGTCATTTCGCAGCTGCAAGACCTTTTCGAAGGTCAAATCGTATGTCCGGAAACAATCAGCCTATACACCCTCATTCTCCCCCTCTCAGCTCATCTAAAACCTGCGTTTCCCGATTCTGACTCGCTGCAACCAGGATTTTGACGGTCAGCGTCTTGCAGAGCGAATTTCCTCTGCCGTCCTCACCATCTCCTCCGTAAGGCTGCAGTACCTCCCCATCTTGGAGTCCCTCTAGGACCGGGTCACGTCTCGTTCAATGCTGATGATTAACACACTTGCAGATTCTTGCTCTTATTATGGGCTTTATTGATCAAGACATCTATTTGACCATGTGGATCGGATTGGCAGGAGTCGTGCTTGCAATGTTCTTCGTTGTTCCTCCCTGGCCTGCTTACAATCGACATCCGCAACCCTGGCTAGGTTCTATGTCTGTATTGCCGCCAGGAGGCATAGTGGTGGGAACAGAAGCAAGATGAGAATGTCCGTGGATATTCCATGAACAAGATTAGCAGGTCATAACGTTCTCATGTTATTATTGGCCTCATTCTCTTGCCTGATGCCAGACTCAATTCTCCGATGGTCATGGTTGCCCTGCTCGCATTTAGCCATCAAAATCATCAAAGCTTTCTCCCAGCATCAATCATTCAGCCGCTCCAAAGTACCACACGCCAGGCCTCAGTCGCTTGATTGGCCTCCACTCTTCCATGCGGCGGTGCGTGCCTCTGTAAAAACTGCTAGGCGCAGCGTTATTCTCCATTCAAAGCTATGACCCCTTTTAAGGATATCTGGGATGTGTTTCATAATTTGGTCAAGTAATTATTTAGCGGCCGTATTTCTGGAATTCCCAGTCTCGATTGTCCAACGGACACACTTGTCGAGTCTTGAGCCAGCGGGAGATGCAGTGAAAGTGGAAGGCGTGCTGAATGACACCGTCAGTGGTTTGATCAAATGGTCATGGCTGATATCCTTACATTGCAAATTCCCCATGCAACTGTACATTCCTCTGTCGTAGCTGCGCCCTGGTTTGCCTGGCATTCAATGCCTGTGGTATTATTAGCGAAGGGGGCCAACGTGTCTGAGGTCAGAGCTATCGCTCACAAAGATCCATAATGTGGTTTCTGCAGATGGCGCAGTTGTCGACAACAATATCCCATGCCCATAGGGCGACCGCATTCCACTAGAATATATCAGTATCATGGTGAATCGAACTCCGTGTGATCCATCCCACCTTCTTGACTTCAAATCTCTTCTTAGGCTCGCCGCCCTCAGTAACTCCTGATTTTGAGGTCTTCGCAGTGGCTTTGGTCTTAGAGTCGGAAGGTGTAGCAGCGTCTGCCATTTCAACGTCCGCCATTTGGATGTCTAGGAATGTTGTCGTGTTATTTTATAGTCGGGGGGTATGGAGATGCGGGGAGGATGGTGAGAACGGAAAGAGGTTCGATGTGGTTGTGGACGGGACCGTCGAGCGAACTGGTTGGGTCAGGTTCGGACACACGGAAACGACTCTGGATCAAGGGAACATCAAAGGAACTGACTGATGAAGCAGAAATTAAAGGTGTTCAGGTCAAACTGCGGAGTTGATGGACGAGCACGACACAAGGCTGAAGTGAAGGAATGGCTGAGGATGATTCCCGAACCAAGATTGGTCAGAGCAGCGCCGCCTCGCAGCCTGGTTGACTTGGCCTTTGACTGGCTTGACTGGCTGGCTGAGGACCTGGGGTGGCGACAATAATGCGGCTGGTCCCCCTTTGACCCTCTGCCCTCTGTCACGCCCTCGCCGCCCAGCCGCAGCACTGCCCTGGGGCGCCGCCCTCCCAACCCTCTTATTTCTCAGTCCTTCCTCCGTCCTGTCGCAGGCTCCTGCGTCACCCAAACTCATTCGCTATTCTCTGTCTCTTTACCCTATCTGCGCGGTTCACCAATCTGGTTCAACAGTATCTTCATTTCTATCAATACAACCATACATTCCAGACCAATACTCTGCCTTAGGGATAGAATTGGTCCTTCGCGCCCCGGATACTACACGACGTTCAGACAATGAACACTTACACTTCAACCTTCAGCCTCATCTCACACCAACCACGACGACCTACTCTGAGACCCTACGCTTCGCCACACCGTAAACGCTCAAGATAGACGCCCACCAATACATCGTGCGGTCTCTTTGTCCCTCTTGCGCAGTTCAATATTCGTATATCTCTGAGCGTTCTGCATTTCATTATTCCTTGATCTACTCAGGTCCTGGGCTGCCGATTTCATCAGGCCCATCGAAACCCTCTCACAAACACAATGTCTGCTGTGGCTACGACTCCGTTGCCTCAAGCTCCTCGAGCTCCTCGCCGTTCAGGCAGGAAATCCCGACCATTGGACGCCCGTGACAGCGCCGCAGCACCAGCCGCGCCAGTTCCAGGTGTGCAGCGCAACCCCTCCCCCACTACTACAAACACAACAAAGAATGGCATCAAAGGTCAACACCGCAAACCTCCACAAGGCAATAACACGTCACAGACAGAAGGGAAACATGGCAACTATCAACAGGAGAAGACCAAAGCAACGCCGACACCCATGAAACCAGTTGCGTACGCCGGATCTGCTTTCCAACAATCCCCAGCCCCTTCAGCTCTTCCTCTTCCGAGTTTCTACTCCAAATCTCTACCCTCCACGAGCTCCATACCACAACAAGTCCCTATACCAGAAGGCGCTAGCTCTCGCGAGTCTTCGGTTACACCAGGTGATGAATCACCTAGCAAGCGGGAATCAACTCCATGTGACTTCCTTTTTGAAGCTGCCCGACAAGCAAGAGCCACTCCTCGCGGTGAGAGCCCTGCTGCACGTTCTGGCAGTCTCTCTGTCGTCAATGGAAGCCCTGCTTCTCAGTCTCCCGCACCCCGAGAGGGAGATCCCATGTTCCCCTTTGAGCTGGAAGGTGGTGGCAATCCTGGAGAGGATGGTTCGGCCTTTGCTACTCCTTACAAAGATCGCATGGAGGCTCTGCGGTCCACAAAGTCGACGTCTGCAGGAAGCAGGAGCATGGATGAAAACGAACGCAAAGCGAAATCCGAGGCACTGAAGCAATTACTCATGAAATCAAGCGGTCGCGAAAACGGCGTCGGCAATGATTCCGTCACTGATACTAACCCATTCAATGCCAGAGCCCCGTACAGCTCCCTTCCACAGGGCCCTGCGCGCTCCAGCTCGAACCCTGGCACACCAGTATACATGCATGAGAACTCTCCATATCATCCTCCCCAGAACTTAACTCCTGCGGGGTACCCATTTCCAGGTGGTCAGATGTATACCCCAAAGCGAACGAACTCTTCGCGACTTCGACATGTCTACGGAGCACAGAGCGAGCCTGAGTACGCCGAATTGTCGTCCGATAGCGCAGTAACGCCGCCAACGGCTTCGCGAACACATGCTTCTCGTCAACAGCCTCAGTATCCTCAGTATACTACAGGGCCATCCGCGAGCCACCCGCAGATGCCAACTCATCGATCTAAGCCGAGTGCGCAACAGCTTGAGGACGATTTGAGAAGAGTACTAAAGCTGGACCTTACGTCTCGAGGATGACTCATTCCGAGCGCAGCGTCATATGAAATCTAGGCAAAACTAAAACAGAGCAAGGGCTAGATCAATGTACAAAGACTCCATGGTTTTGATGATCTTCATGAGACGAATCGGGCCAGGGCGGCATGGGTTTGTCCGTATTGGGTTGGTTCACCTGGTGGTTTACTGGCTCGGAAGTTATCTTTTGAAAGATCATATCGTGGAGCAGATTTGGAAAGTATGGAAACTAGAGACTGGTCATTCTTTTGAGGTGGATTTCATTTGTTTTCCGAGCGATGATGGTGCTGGCCACGTACAAACCTTCATACCTAACGAGGGCTTTTATACTTGTGGACAAGTGTTAATTCTCGGGTATATCTTTCGCTCAAGACCACAAAGAGTCTCCTCATCAAACTGTGCGTAGGCACAGTAACTTGGAAGTGACTTTGACTTCCTAAACCTAGGGGACATGCCTTGAGGTTTACCATCCTCGCATAATTTCTACAGAGAAACCCCCGAGCAACGTCGGCCCATCCGATACGAGTTCGCACCTTTGTTGGATTAGCTCCCAGCGCTTAAATGAGGGAGAAAAGACGTGAGATGTCTCCGGGCTGTGTCATCATTCGTAGATGACTGTGCCGTCCATCTGCTTGCCCCACGGGCTATGTATGCCATTGACGAACTCCTAAAGAGTCGATACTCGTGGGTGAATGCTCATCAATCATTCGTGCTTCATCATCATCGCCTCAGCCGGCTGCTGGGACCAGTTCTTTTGAGACATAGTTGCTGTTCGAGCTGGGCATTCCCAGCTGCACGGTGAAGGAAGTTTGCCTCTATTCGTAAGTGAGAGCCTTCAAGTGTTGGTGACCTCAGCAGCGCCGGTATCGGATGAGTCGTGATAATATTTCTCGTCAAGAATTCTGGACGCAGCCAAACCCATTCGTCTGTCGAGCTTGCCTCCATGGAGAACCCCATTCAATCACTGCTTGCGCACCCTCTGCATCCGCAATTGACACACTGGAGCCCACCGCCGCCGCCCTCGGCTGCCTCGCCGTCCCTCTTCAGGGTGGCCTTGGGCACGCGACAGATGCAGGTGCCCTGGAAATTTGTCTCCTTGGTCTGCACGCACCGCAGACAACACAGCTTCTCGTATCCCTGCTTCTTCCACTTCGCAATCAGGGCCGCGTCCGCGTATCCGTTCTTGATCAGCCACTCGTACAGCTGCTTCGAAATGGCCTCTCGCGTGTAGTACAGGTCGTAGACGTACCGGCTACGGGCATGCGAGATCTGGAAGATGGGCCAGAGGGCTTCGTGCTTCTTCTTCCCCTCGTGCGAGGCGTTCTGGGCGTCGCGCATCTTGTTCGAGTATTCGAGGAGAGTGTCTTCGATGTCTTCGAACCCCGCTGGGGGCGGCTTTTTATGGGCGCGAGAGCGGACCGGAGGCATTTTTTCCCCGTTAGAAGTCAAGAAAATTATTGAATCAGCAGTAAGCGAGTGTGACTTTGGTCTTTGCAAAGGAATCAGAGTAATATGAGTCTTTTAGTCAAGTCGTGCGGAAGTGAAGAATGGTGGAGGCGAGTGAGTTATCGACAAGCATCTAGCGAGAAAGAGTGGCAGGCAAGGCTGCGAAGGACCAGACTGCGCCCCCCAGGAAAAAGAATAACTCAATGACGTAAGCGGTATCTTTGCCGAACTCTGGAGCCTTGCTTATGTATATTCTGCCAAGGCAAGGCTGAGAAGAAAATGATTCTGACTGGGCCTTTGCTGCGTGTTCTTCTGGCGCGGCCCAAGCAGCCTTTGGTGTAGTTGATCAATATCGAAACAATTGCGCAGTTAAACAAAACTTGACTACTTCCATTTTATTGCAAATCGACTGCCACAGACGCCTCCACCATGGACGACACCGAACTCAGCATCAACGCACAAGACGTCGAGCGTCTCACAGACCGCGAGAAGCGAGAGCTGCAAGGCTTCCTCCAGAGCGAGTCACAAAAAGCTCAAGTTCAAAAGCGTACGTCTCTCCCTACATCCGCCGCCGTTGTGGAACCTCGTGACAATGAAACCCACTGACGTGCTGTTCTCTGCTTGCGCTATAGAAATCCACGAATTGACCGAGTTGTGCTTCAAGAAATGCATCACGGGCTCGATATCATCGGGAAAACTGGCTGGCAAAGAGGAGTCTTGCATGACCAACTGCGTGAACCGCCTGTTCGATTCAAACATGGTGATTCTGAAACATCTGGAGACATTGAGGGCGAACCAATAGTCTCGACACTCTTGTGTCGGTGATAACACCGTGGAGAACTCAGACCTGGGTTGGAAGGCATTTGGGTCCCCAAGGGGGTACATTGTACAAAATAGAGGAGTAATAGTACGAGATGTGGAAGTTTTCGGTCGGGAAAATATGGCTTTACAATGTGTTTGGATTGTTCCGACGGGCAGCTGATCTGGATTGAGCCCAGCCCAAGGCAGGCTGTGTGCTCATTTGTAACAACGACACGGTCCAATTATGAAGTGGAAAACGAAACTTCATATCTCGGAAAAGCAATTGAAAAAATTTCTGCTCCTATTTTGGCGACGCCGATTGTGCGTGTCAATCATAACTCGAGATTCTATATCGAGCGTCGATCTGGGACCTTGGCTGAATCATGACCTTGATACCGATGCAATCCGTAGATGCCAGACTGATGGACTTGTCCCCTTTTTTTGATTCCAGGCAATCCATCACAACCCTCTCCCAGTGCAGACTCCCACTTTACACAATCGACAACTTCGTAGCGGCAATGTCAAGCGCATCCACATCCGACGTTAATCTCGCAAATGCCTTCTTGGTCCCATCTGGTCTGATCAGAGTGTTGATCTTGACGGTTTCGACGTCGTACAGCTTCTTCAGGGCTTCCTTGATCTGGCGCTTGTTGGCCTTGGTGTCCACGATGAATACCAAGGTGTTGTGCTCTTCGATCTTCTTCATCGCGCTCTCGGTGTTGAGCGGGTGGACGAGAACCTTGTGATGGTCGAGCCTCGTCTCATGGGGAATAGACTTGCGCGGGTATTTGGGGGACCGGGAGAGAACGAGCGTCTTGGGTCTGTGGAAGGTGGTGGATGTGCGAACTTTGCGGGCTTTGTTGGTATGGACCTGAAAGAATTTGTGAGATTTCTTGCTCGAAGCGAGGAGTAGACTCAACGTACGCCTTTGAGGGTGGCTTTGGCGGCCTGGTTCGCTTTGGCACTCGGCTTCTTTGACTTCGAGGAGCCACCTGGAACGTGCAAATGTCAGCCCTCTATTCCACACAGCAATTTGACTGTACAAGACGAGGTCGAAGAATTCCTCTCCGCCGCTCGAATTGAGCATTTTCCAATCTCCAATTCCGGTTGTTTTCGCCCTTCACTCTATCCTCAAAGAAATGACATGATCCGTACCTTTAGGCTTCTGGGTTGGTGGCGCCATCTCTGCTGTTGTTGTGCCGGAGGGACTTGGGTGTTGTAGACGGTCGTCAAAAAAGTTGTCAATCTCAAGTCGCAGATTGTCGGGCAACTTGATTGTGGGCTTCCGCGTGCCAAGACTTCGGCATTGCCAAGAATATTGGTTCGGCGGATCATCTGACTGGATAGCGCAGTCCTTTTCAGAATTGCTTCCCCTCGAAATAACTGGAGACATATTCTATTCCTCGTCAGGGTGTAAGAAGATTGGTTTGATCCAATACAGTTTTCATTACCAATTGAGAGGCAGGGCTGCTGGTGTTGACGCGATGGTGTAAGGTCTTCCAACTCGTTGCATCCCAGGAGTTTACAATGGCATCAAATAGTGGCACTGGCCAAGACAACAGCGTCCATACCGACCGAGAGGATGAAGACGCCGACGCCATCCTCGCGTCGCTGGAAGAGGAAGATTCCGCGGCTTATCGTGCTCAAAGACTAGAAGAATTGAAAAAAGCAGCGGGTGCGTCTGCCGGGACTACGGCTTTTACCACCGTCAAGAAGGCTTATATCACACTGAAGAGTGATGACGAGGCTCTTGCTTTTACGACCGAGCACGAGAGGGCAGTGCTCCATTTCTTCCATCCTGAGTTTTCGAGGTGCAACACAATGGACAGCCACTGTGAACTCATTGCAGACAAGCATGCAGAATACGGGGGTGCGGATGTTTCCTTTGCCCGAATTGACGTCAAAAACGCCCCGTTTGTGGTCGAGAAATTGGGTGTGAGAGTGTTGCCTTGTGTGATTGGCTTTGTCAAGGGAGCAGTCAAAGGGAGAGTCACCGGCTTTGAGGGATTATGCTGGGATGGCAAAGAGAGCAGCATGGACGTTGCTCGAGCACTGGAGGAGGTACTTCTCGGGTGGACAGTTATATCAAAGAGACTTCTCCTCGAGCATGAAGACGAAAGAAGCGACGACGACGAGGAAGCGCCAGACCGTCGGAAAGCAGCCCGTGGCGCTATCCGCAGTCACAATCAGAGGGACGACGACGATGACGACGATTGGGACTGAAAGACTCTAGAGAGGCGACATATGGATTGTCTGAGCGGTCCACCTTCTCATCAGAGATCAGGTCATCGCATATTCCATACCATTGCCCAAGCATGACGGGTACTCGACCCGAAGGGCAGAGCGTCGACGGTTTCTTGATCTTCTCCAAAACAGACTTGCGAGTCCGAACTGCAGGAAATGGAGGGCAAAGACAAAACGGAAAACACACTGGCCAAATTTGTATCGATCCTCGGGGCATGAAAGGGGTGATATACAAAATGGTCAATTCAGGCTTGCCAGGTCAAACCTGAAGGCCGAAGTCAAGGAACGTAACTAACAGTTGACGCATTGCCCCTAGCGATTCACTGTGCGACAGCCTCGCTTACCTGAAACTTACATATACATTTGCTACAGCGGATGGGAAGTATCGTCTCCACCAACGCTGCATGAAGACGACTCCGTACTTACTCGTGGCTTAATTTCTGTCACGGTGGTTGGAGTTATCTGACCCGGTCCACTTCAATACTCTACCGTTTTTGTCGAAAGTACCTCGTGCCTTGTATGGTAAGGAACAACCTCTGCATAGACGCTGTACAACTGGTCCAAGTCCCGAGTGTTTCAATGGAGGCATTTCGGACCGAAGTTTTGGGCTGAGGTATGCTAGATCTTTTGGACAATGCGGTGCAAGCTGGCATTCTCAGTGCGGTCGATGTCTGATGGAGTTTGGTAAGATGAAGTAACAGCTTCCCCCATTCACTAGCATAGTGCTGGATGTTGTTCAAACAGTAGCAGTCCCACAGCAGGTGCATGCATGAGGAGCACTACAAGTAGGCTTCACATGCCTCGTCCTCAACTACTTCAGTGATTTCGCTCGGTGAGAATTTCAATAGATTGAATCCTGCTTTCGGCTGTTGTAGGTAAAGCGCAGCATCAGTCTTTCCACCTCGTATAGGGATCACTGGCAATGTCGGGTTGTTCCTTGACCCCTATTCAAGTAATCTTCGTTCAGGCATTCTTCTGGATAAGAGGACGACCGACAGGCACGAGGTGCGCACCTGTCAATGCCGATCGCAATGACGAGAGAAAGCAATCTCCTTGCGTTCTTGTTTGAGGGTTGCTCAGAACTTGGACTCCCTGGCAGAATCTGTGATGGTCTACCCAGGCCAAGGGAAGTGGCTGTCCCAATTCGTCCCTTGCCTGGGGGTAGGAAGACGGGGGATGTTTCTCTCTGCCGACTCGGGCTAGACTGGGTGTCTGTTGTCCGACTCCTAAGCATGTAAACTCGTGTCTTGTCCAAAACAAGCGAGAACGGGCGTCAGCGGCCTTGCTTGGGATGGTTAAGATATGACTTGTAGTACTCTATTCAGAAGTATCCGCAGTGTCAAGGGAGCCCCGGCTCTTGAAACAGACCCACAATGGAAGATATCAAACTCGTAGAAATTCTTTTGGGCTGGTTGCAGTTGATATCAACGCGATCGGCTGGGTCTACCGGGGATAAAATCTGATCGGCAGGAGCTATTATTGAGAGGCTGAAAGGCGAGACAGGTAGCGGGTACGAAATAATCCGCAGTCCGGTCAATTCTGTATGGACAGGGATGGTCCATGGATGCAGAAGAAGATATCGGAAATTGTATCTTCTGCGTTACACACGCTCAGGTCAGTGGGACCAACTTGGAGGCGTCCTGGGCTGCGGGCGCATTTGGGGGGTTGTTAGTCAGGCGCAGGCTGGTTTAGGCTTGTTCCAGCTGGTTCAAGCTGCTTTAGGCACACCACTTACCCCCAGGCCCTGTCAAATTGACGCCTAATTGGGCCCCCGTGGGTGCCTGTAGCCACCAAAGGACCACCAAGCAGCCAGTCCGAGGTAGAGAAAGGCACTGACGCACGTCAGCGCCAGCCATGATGCAGCCACTTGCGACTTTTCAGTTTGCGTTGCGCGTTCACCTGCGTCTCCCCTTTTTTCCATCCAAAGTGTCCCTTTTCATCTGGCGCCTCTAAATCAATTTCTCAACATCCACCCACCTTTCAACGCGCTTTTTCTCGGAACACGCCCTCGCCTACTTTTCCTTTCCCAAGTCTCTCGGACTTTAAGATCAAACGTTTCCATCCTTGACTTTCTTCTGACTTCCTCGCCCAACCCTGCACTCCTCCCGACCTCTCGGCCAAGCCACGTCATTTGTTTGTCCCATTTCTCCCAGAACCTCAGAACCTCGTCGGTCCAGGACGCCGAAACCACAAAAGAGATGGCTGAAGAGGAGAAGAAAAGATTTCTCGAGGGCAACGAGATGGAGCTCGGAGAGAAGCAGGGGAGAACCTTTTCTCACGCTCCTCAACCGTCAATCCCGAGATATACACCCACTGCGTCCAACTGGCAGAACAATCCCATTCTTCCAGTCGTCAGCTACTGTGCCTCATCTATCTTGATGACGGTGGCCAACAAATACATCCTTTCGTTTCCCGACTATAATCTAAATTTCCTCCTGCTGGCTGTTCAGGTTCGTCGACCCTGCTGATAACTGTACTCCGCACCTTCAACTGACCTTCATTGTCACTAGGGAATTGTCTGTGTCCTGGCTATTCAATCCTGCAAAACCGCGGGTATCATCACGTATCGAGACTTCAAAGCAGACGAGGCCAAAAAATGTACGGGCTGAAACGAGATTGAATTGTCAGTGTTCTTCAATCTAACAGATTTCTAGGGTTTCCCATCTCCCTCCTTTTGATCGGAATGATTTACACGAGCACAAAAGCCCTTCGATATCTCTCAATCCCTGTGTACACCATCTTCAAGAACTTGACCATCATCTTGATTGCTTACGGCGAGGTGCTATGGTTTGGGGGTTCAGTTTCTTCCATGGCTCTCTTTTCCTTTGGGTTGATGGTCCTCAGCTCCATCATTGCAGCATGGGCCGATATCAAACATGCGTTAGAATCACACGGCTCCGCTGCGGCTGCTGCAACGGCACAATTGGCGACACTGAACGCCGGGTACATCTGGATGTTTGCCAACTGCCTATCCACTGCGGCCTACGTGCTGGGGATGCGCAAACGCATCAAGCTGACGAACTTCAAGGACTTTGACAGTGAGTTGCCGCCTCGAAACTGGCAGGAGTGAAGGAAGACTAATTGCATACCTCTAGCAATGTTCTACAACAATCTTCTCACCATCCCCGTCCTCTTGATCGCCTCTTTGACCCTGGAAGACTGGTCCGCCGTCAACCTGTCCAAGAACTTCCCAATCGATTCGAGAAACGCAATCATTGGCGCTATGATCTTCACCGGCATGTCGTCGATTTTCATTTCATACACATCTGCTTGGTGTGTGCGGGCCACATCCTCAACCACATATTCTATGGTCGGAGCGCTGAACAAACTCCCCATTGCCGTGTCGGGTCTCATCTTTTTCGACGCACCTGTTACCATTCCCAGTGTCTCGGCCATCACCGTTGGCTTTTTCAGCGGCATTGTCTATGCACTCGCTAAAGTCCGAGAGTCGTCGAAACCCAAGACCATCCTGCCCACGACAAATACTATGAGCGCCAGCAGCCAGAGTAATCGAGACAGTCTCAAGGCGTGAGTGTCCGGGGGAGGGGCGATGTGAGGGCAGCGAAGTTGTAGACTACTATTCTCTCAATATGTTGACTTGGTCAATGGCTTTGGACGAAGATCTTATGCATTGCGAGGCGTTTGATTTGTGTGTGACGGGCCAGGAAGGATGTGGCTCGAAGAATCTCTGAAACGTACAGAGGTCATGTCGAAACAAGAATCACTCGACGCGAAAATGTTCTGTTCGGCTTCTGTACTTTTTAAAAATACATTTAGAAATTGTGAGAACATATGTATTCATTCTACCAGGTCCAGGTACATTGAGGGCGTAGAGTAATGGAAAGTATGGTCAGCCGGTCAACAATTCGAAGCCTCGCCTCGGGGTTAATTAGAGAATCCTATACCGAGTACGACGTATATATATATATATGCAAGGCCAGCATTGGAATCCCAGAAAGCGTTGCCAGAGCTATTATAAAACTCGGTACTCGGTCCTGGATCAGACTGGATCGGATCGTCTGGAGAGTTCGCAGCTCAAACACACTGGGAAGGAAAATAAATGTTTGGAGACCCCGGAGGTAGGTGCTGTATTGTTGAATGCCGTATGCTGTTCCCAATAATCTCTGTCTCTGAATTTCTTCCTTTTCTTCTGGTGTGATACCACCATCCGGGTATGCGTCTGGCTATGTGTGCTGCTGTGCTGGATGTGCTATGCTGTGCTGTGCTTTGACTGACGAGATAGGCGGACGCAGTAGTAGTATACTGATAGAACCACAGCATCGACAGGGACAGATAATAAGGCGTGCAACGACTCGCTCGTTAACCACGACAAAAGATACGAAAAGGATGAACGACCGGTAGAACTCGTTCTCTCCTCGCCATGACTGACTGACTGACTGACGGACAAATTGACTGTAAACTGTGCTTCGGGCTCAAAGGTCCTTGTCCACGGGAGTATAGCCTCCGAAGACTTCAGACCCAGAGACCTGGTACATGAGATTCTAGAAAAAGTGTGGCTCACTCACATGCAGCCGTTCATGTGTCGAGTCGACCTGCCCAAACTCAGCGACAACGAGTCGTATCCATCTCATCATATGATACGCTCACTACGCCGAGCCGAGCAGCTGGTCGAGTTGTCACGACTACGCCAACAAAGTCAGCTGCTGGGAACGCGCGAGGAAGCTTTGCAAATGGAATTATGGGATCAGGTCCCTATTGACCGATCAGCTCTCGCGAGTTTTATGTCCTTTTGTGATACTTTGCCTGTCCAACGTTCAAGTTGGCCCTTCCCGTGCGCACGAAATACAAACCGCGATCCCACTGGCAGAATATTGCTATACTCCTGTCGAAACAGCAAGGTCAAAGAAAGAATGGTGGAAGGAGAACGTCAATGTTGCCCTGAAAGAGGTGTCGTAGTGGTGTCGGAGTGCTTGATCTGACATTGTCAGCCTAACGACACGAGACATGCTCATAAACCT